GGTGGCGGTGCCGGATAATGTCCCATCTCGAAGAGAAAACGACAGAGGTCTCAGACGGCAATTTCCAGCGGCATCATTCCCATCCCGCGGCTGTGAGAGAGAGTGGTAGGATGACAACAGACGACAAGTATAAGAAGGACGGCGGCGGCGTATTGAATAACAATAGAGGACGGCCGATCTGTGAATACAACATGTATATATGTTCTGTGTGTGCAGGTGTATGTGTGTGTGTTGTGGGTGTGTGTGCATGTGTTTAATATGTGTCGGCGTGTGTGATATGTGTGGTGTGTGTTAAAAGGTGTGTGACGTGCTGAAGAGAGAGAGGGAGAGGGGATGAGAGAGAGAGGGGTGATGTGGCAGATAGGTGTACGGAAATTACTAAATTACCCTTAATGTGTGTATAAGTTTGAATTTTTTTAGCCATTAGATCATTTGATCTAATGGTTACAATTTATTCTCATTTCTTTTTTTGAGAATCATTCTCATGTGAATCCAACCATATATATATATATATATATATATATATATATACTAGATTTGATTCGGCTGTGCAAGCACAGCCGGCCCAAGTCCAGTCTATAATTATATTTTATAATTGTGAAAATTTTAAAACATAATTACCCACATTTTATGGAGCAACCAAAACGCCACTATTTATTTTCAATTAAATTATCCACAAATATTTTTTACAACAAAATATTTATATTTATTAAATTAATATTTTTATCGCATCAACTTTAATTATTATATTTTATTTTTTGTTTGTTCAAAATGTTTTTCACAAATAATTTTTTTTAAAATAATTTTTTTACCACTCTTTTGACTCATTTTGTTTGTAGTATTTTTATTGCCTGATTTATGTTTCTTTTATTTCATATAATAATCTTATTACTTATTTAACTTTCAATTAATTTCTATGTTTTCTTGTTGCACACAATATTTGACAAATTTACATATTAATGGTAAGTTGAATTTTTATTAGATATTTTTAAAGAGTATTTTTTTGTTTGGTTTTCTTATGTTAACCAATACGAAGCATAAAATTTTCAAAATTACCTACCTTTACTTTTACAATCTACAAATTAACACAATACATGAAAACTAAGTTAAAATTAGCCTACAATCAGAATTTAAATGATCTTAAATCTACTGATCTTAGATCTACTGCTTAAACCCAATTTCATTAAGTTAAAATTAGCCCACAATCAGAATTTAAATGATGTTATATCTATTGATCTTAGATCTACTGCTTCAATCTGAAGCCCTGATAAACAACAAGATAAGCTTTTGCGACTGGTAGAAAACAAAGCACCTAAACATGAAGGCAACATATGCAACAATTATGGCTTATGTGGACTCGTTGTGCATCTTAATGAAATCATGAGAAAACTCAAGGCACGTATTAACACCATTTGTATTGATTTAGTAAAAACCAACAAAGATAAAAGGAAGAATCAAATGAACATTAAAGAAAATGGAAGGGTATTATTTCTTACACAAATTAACTGCTTCTGACGAAAAATCATAACGGAAAAGCCGCTACATATTTTTTGCTTTCTTAGTCTGCACAATATATCGATTAGCATGAAGCAGTAGTCTGCACGGTATATCGATTAACATGAAACGGTGTCTTTTTGCTTTCAATTTTTTGCTTTCCTGACAGCGTTTCATGAAAAATAAGGCTTATCAATGTTCCACATTGCAGTAAATAAAGGTCTCTCGTGGTTTTCTTATAAGATAGAGAAAAAGAAATGTTCGTCCTGTGCGAATAATGAACATTGCCGCAAAAAGTCATGCATCCAGTGTGATGAACATAACGGAAAGTTCGATGTGCACCCACATGATTTCAGCATTGATTTAGACACATGTATATAGACACCGGAAAAGAAGATTGAATACAATTCGAGTTTTTTCATACATAAGACGTAAGTATTAAATACAATTCAAATTTCTTCACTCATACCTCAAAATATAAAGAATGAAGGTTGTTGTTTTAATCTTACATGACTAATTTGAATATTTGGGTACAATAGGTATTGAAATGATGACGACATACTTGAAGGTTCTTTTGCTATCTGCATCCTTGGAAGGGTCATCAACAATATAATGCAGCAGTTGCTCGACTTGAGCTCAATCTCTCAAACTAACACTAACCTAATCAATTCTCAAGTAAAATGGGAGAACTAAAAGTTCGTGATTCTATCAAAAAGTGGAATTGAATAATTTTATCGCACAGGATGTCAAATGAGGTAAGTAACTAAGCAATGAGTACAAACTTATAAGACGGTTTTTAATGCTTTGCATTCTTCAATGATTATTTCTTCATCCAAAAGATCTTACAATGCAAATTTTTCCTTGTCTATCACAACCTAAACCTTAAACTATAATAAGCATTTATCAGGAGTCAAAACACTACCCAGTGTAGAACTTGACAGTAATAGCTTTAATTCTGTACGCCATAAAACAATTGCCAAAACTCTAAATCTACTCAAACCTACATATAACATACATTACAAATCAAACCAATAGATACCGCAACATAAAAAATACTTTACATATAATATGACATTAACCTTTAGCTTTCACCTACTTTTTGTAGGATGGAAACAACCATAACTTACACAAGATAGCTAAAACAACATGAGAAAATAACAATTAAACAAATAACCTAAATTTGCAAACATTCATTCACCGATTAACAATAAATTAGCACCTCAACTTAGTGTCCGCAGCCGAGACTCCATAAGAAGCTATAAATTCCTTTCCCAGAAATATACAGTAGATGTCCAACCACCAACCACCACTGAACAATTTTCTAAACACGTGAACCATAGTAGTGAAACACTCTGAAAAATAGAAAAATCAAATCCCAAAGTGGAAAAAACTTATTATAATTGTTTCACCTATATGTATAATTCAGGCAAAAAGTGAAAAAGGAAAAATAAAAAAAAAATAAAAAAAAGGCAAACTTAAATTGTAGGCCAATATTATCTTCAGTTCATTAAGAAATTTAAAAGTAAAAATCAATAAACCCTATAAAGCAAAATAGAATTTTTGGTGAAAAAGTTAATATGCTTCTTGGATGGTAAAAAATTGAAAATAATAAGCACTAAATCTAAGAAAACAAATGAACTAAAAACATAATGTTTGGCGAAAAGTTAAAATATTGGCTTATTGGGTCATAAAAACTCAAACCCATTGTAAATTGAGAAATCAAAACCCAAGATAAAGAAACTAAAAAATTTTAACGTTCACATGTAAAAAGGCAAATA